GGGCCGAGTTGAGGGCGTTGGTCGGGCGGTCCGTCGGGCTGCGGGATTTTGGTGTGGGTGTCCTCCGGAGGTGTGTGGGTCGGAAGGGGGGGCATGTAGGTGTGGGCCGCCAGGAGGGTTCTACACGGGGCCAAAGGGCACGGTTTCCACGTGGGGGGCACCCAGAGTCCGACGCTGTGAATCGGGAGTCCCCCAAGTGCCGGGCTGCCGGGCCAGGCCCCTGGGGACGGAAGTCCGAGGAAGCAGCCTAGGGTTAGGGTTAGGCCGACGGGGCACGGCCGGCCCGAGCTGCCCGCGCTGACGTGGCCTCTACCGAAGGCTGAGTTGAGGGCTTGGGTCTGCAGGATCGGCAGCCTCCTGGTTCCCGGTCCTGGTGGGCGCCTGCCGGGGATGTGGCCCCAGGGAGGCATGCAGGGGGCTCCCGCTCTGCGGATTCAGCTCCTCTCCGAGGGCGTGCTTTCCTCCTACGCGGAGAGGCCATTGTGGGCTGAAGCTCAGGGCTCGCCCGTCTGGACAGTTTGGGAAGCAGGCCTCTGCGGCCGGAAGCCTGAGCACCCAGGCTGGGCTTCGGGGCAGGTTGAGGCTTAGGGTTCGGGCTCGGCTTAGGGTTAGGGTTAGGTCTGAGGGACGAGGCACGTCTGATCTGGCAACACCGTCATGGCCTCACCCCGGGCCTGACTTGAGGGCGGGACTCAGGAGGCTCCTCGGGCCCTGGGTTTGGGGCCTGCAGGGGCCAAGAGAGCGGCAATGGCCTCAAGGGAGCATGCTGTTTCCCACCACTCCGAGGGCAGGAGACTGCACCCGATGCAAGCGTGGGCTCCTGGCTGAGAGGCTGAGTCCGGCCGGCAGTCGGAGGCCGCCACGCACGGGAGGAATTGGGTGGCAGGCCTCTGGGGTCCGGGTCCGGAACACGCCACCTAGGGTTAGGGTTTGGTCCTGGGAGCAGGGCAGGCCTGAAGTGCCGGTGCCCAGGGAGGCTCCGAGGGGGGCCGAGTTGAGGGCGTTGGTCGGGCGGTCCGTCGGGCTGCGGGATTTTGGTGTGGGTGTCCTCCGGAG